CTCAGCTTCCTGAGTAGCTGGGATTAGAGGCATGCGCCATCACGCCCGGCTACTTTTGTATTTTTAATAGAGACAGGGTTTCTCCATGTTGGTCAAGCTGGTCTCTCAGGTGATCCACCTGCCTCGGCCTCCCAGAGTGCTGAGATTACAGGCGTGAGCCACCGCTGTATATATATTTTTTGAGACAGAGTCTCGCTCTGTTGCCCAGGCTAGAGTCCAGTGGTACAATCTTGGCTCACTGCAACCTCTGCCTCTCGGGTTCAAGCGATTCTCATGCCTCAGCCTCCCAAGTAGCTGGGATTACAGGCGCCTACCACCATGCCCAGTTAATTTTTGTGTTTTTAGTAGAGATGCGGTTTTGCCATGTTGGTCAGGCTGGTCTCGAACTCCTGGCCTCAAGTGATCCAACCACCTCAGCCTCCCAAAGTGCTGGGATTACAGATGTGAACCAGTACGCCCAGTCTGTATTTTTTTATCACAGTAAAAACATTTTTTTTAAATTAAGAGTACAAATGCTCTGTGATATGGCTGGGCTGTCTCCCGACCCAAATCTCATCTCAAATTGTAATCTCCACGTGTCAAGGGAGGCACCTGATGGGAGGTGATGAGATCATGGGGTCGGTTCCGCCATGCTGTTCTCGTGAGAGTTCGTTCTCATGAGATCTGATGGTTTTTAAGGTTTCCCCTGCTCTCTTCTCTCTCCTGCTGCCTTTTGAAGAAGGTGCCTGCTTCCCCTTCTGCCATGATTGTAAGTTTCCTGAGGCCTCCCAAGCCATGGGGAACTGTGACTCCATTAAACCTCTTTTCCTTTTCTTTTTTTTTTCTTTTTTTTTTTTTCTGAGACGGAGTCTCGCTCTGTCGCCCAGGTTGGAGTGCAGTGGTGTGATCTCGGCTCACTGCAAGCTCTGCCTCCCATGTTCAAGCAAGTCTCCTGCCTCAGCTTCCTGAGTCGCCGGGGTTACTGGTGCCCAACACCACGCCCGCCTGATTTTTTTTCTATTTTTAATAGAGATGGGGTTTCACCACGTTGGCCAGGCTGGTCTTGAACTCCTGACCTCAAGTGATCCACCCTTGTGATCTCTAAGTGCTGGGATTACAGGTGTGAGCCACCACGCCCAGCCGAGGGCGTGGTATTCTTTACAGCAGCGTGAAACGGACTAAGACACTCTGACTTTGTTCCCAGGGGGAATCAGAGAAGTTATCTAGGCCTGAGCTGAGACATGCAATTCCACTGCAGCTCCAGCTATCACGTACTGAACAAGGAAGGTCATCTGTTCTCAGAGAAACCAGACCACGAAAGCCACAAAACCAGGACCCACGTTTGTCTTATTTACTGATGAATCCCCCATTCCCAGCATGGTGCCTGACACACAGTAGACACTAGATGAGATGGTTTGGCTGTGTCGCCATCCAAATCTCACCTTGAATTGTAAGAATCCCCACGTTGGCCGGGCGCGGTGGCTCATGCTTGTAATCCCAGCACTTTGGGAGGCCAAGACGGGTGGATCACGAGGTCAGGAGAT